TAAGTCTTCTTTATTGTCTGTTTCAGCAAATAATTTTTATCTAAGTAGGAAGCACTGAAGAAGACATGCAAGACAGATTATTAAAATATATTGAACAGGCATTAACACAAACAAACACATACACACAAAATCTAAAAACAAAGCAATGCATTTTTATTGCTATTTGAAAGGGTCATCATATTAAGGGGAAAAATCCTCTAATTGGGTGATACTTAAAGGAAAGGAAATATATAATAGTGTTAAGGTCAAGAGAATAACACAATGTCATGGTTTTGGTGTACAGCTGGGGAATGCCGAACGGGATCTAGGAGTGGAGGAGCAGTATGAAGAGGCAGAAGGACTAAGTGCATAGGAGGGTAAAGAAAGTCCAGGAGCTGGTGGAAAGCTTTTGATTTGGGTTTGGTTTATTGACCAAAGTTCTGAGCTTTTATCATATGTCTTCTGTTTTCAAATAAAAAAATCATTCACTGTAAGTCTGTTGTGGACCCCTCATAAGTGTCCTCAAAAGTTCATGTGAGTTTTGGACACAAATAACCATGCGGCATGCTGCCAATGCATTCTTTAATAAAGACATAGTGTGATCACCCTTGAAGCACAGAAGACACTAATATTGGTACTGACAAGGACAGAAAAACACAACAGACAAGTCGTTGTCCTCCACGGGCTTGCAATCTAGCTAGAAGCATAAAAGAGTTAGGAAAAGTTTGACAACCTAAAGGCAACTTCTAACTAAAAAGGACCAAGTTTTCCCAGGGCATATATTTAGCTTTCTCCTTCAGTTGCTCTGTTTGTCAATACATTGGTGCTTATAATTTTATGTTGTTTAAAAGTGCTATTTCATTCCCAAGGCACACATGCACACATAACTATGTGAGGTGATGGATATGCTAATTAGTTTGATTATGGTAATCATCTTGCGATGTCTATGTACACCAAAATATCACATTGTGTACTTTAAATTTATGTAAGCAAATTTAACATATTATATTTGTCAATTGCATCTCAGTAAAGTAGGAAAAAAAATGTGTTTGGGAAGACTTGATTCTTAGGAAAAAAACCTATCTCTAGAATGAGTTATTGGATCAAAAGAAAATATCATTTTGCATACCTATTCTTCCTAATGCACTAGAAAACCTGTATTTCTTAGACTTAGGGAAATGATTCTTTTTAGTTAATAAGTGTTTATTGAGAACCCACTGTGAGTGCCATGCCTTGTTATTATAGACCTATTTTTTTAAAAGTCAGATCAGGACAAAGCTCACCGACGTGGAAATGTTGGATCTCTATACCAGGGGGCTGCTGAGTTGGTTCCTGGCATGGACTCTGGAGTTGGGCCGCGTGGAGTAAATGTGATACGCTCACTCACTACGTCTGTGATTTTGAGCAAGTCTCTTGACCTTTCTGGGCCTTGGTTTCATTCAGTAAAATAAGCCTAGTAATGAAAACTGCTTTATGAAATTGTGGTGATGATGAAACAAGAAAATGTATTCAAAGTTTTTGGGTGCACATAGGAAGTGTTCATTAAATTAGGGAATAATATTTTTATGACAGCATAGTTAATATGATTACAAAGCTTATAGTCTGTTTTTCTTTCTATACACACCTAGAAAACATGGATCATTTTCATATTAATGCAGGACCGATGGAACTATATCTGCTTAAAATATCCCTTCCCTTTTCCCTACACTTAATCTGACAATCCCTTGGAGCCTGCCAATGTCTTTTCAAAACCAGGTGACTGACTCTTTGGGGTATCTCTGTGGCACTCTGTGTCTGCCATAACAATGTGGTTTGGGGAGGGTGTTATGGGATGTGATTTTTCTGTCCATTTGCCTGTCTCTGCCTCATTCACTATCCCCATGATTGCCTTGAAAGGGCCAGGACCACATCTCATTTTTTTGTTATTTCTTGAGAATCTAACATGGTGTGGGACTTAATATTCTAATACATATGTGTCAAGTGGAAGTTAAGGAAGGAAGGGAAGGGAAGGGAAGGAAAAGAGAGAGGAAGGGAGAGAGGGGGAGAGGAAGGAGAAAGGAGGCAGAAAGGGTGGGTAGAGGTGCTCTGGTCCTGGCAATGTGACATTTGTCTGAGTCTGCACAGCCTCTTCCCTCTCCCTCCCCCGTCCCTCCTGCCCTATAAAGTGAAGGGAAGTTTGAGCAATGAGAATGTTTTACTTACCCCAAATCACCACTGGAGAAATCCATTGCATTACTGAGCACTGGTAATGGGTTGGCCCTGGTTCAGAATCTAGGGTTTTGCTGCCCCTGCCAAGCAGGCTTATGCACGTGGAGCTTAGATGGTGCCTTTGCCCACACCTGTCTGGCTCAGAGAACTTGCTGGACTGTCAGGAGGAGAGCTGGGCATTGAGAAAGGCTGATGGGGCTTTGACGAAAAAGAGAACCGGGCACACAGGTCTCATTTATAATCCATTCCAGCTGCTCCTCTGCTGGGGGAAACTGGCATTCTGTTTTGTTGGCCCCTTTTCCATCAGGACAGCTGTGAAACCCTACTCAGTGAAGTAATCGCAATAACAACCACCACTTTGCATGTTGATGCCTTTCTTCCAAGGAACTCAAAGTTCTTTGGAGACATAACCTCATTAATCCATCCTGCATGAAGTGGTGGCTGATGGGGAGGGGTAGGAATTCTTACTCATGTTTCCAAGGCTGGGGGATTTAGGAAGGGAGAGTTGAAAAGAAAGAGAAAGAGGTTTCAGAGCTAGGAAAGATAAGGGATGGTATCTTTTTTTTCTCCTGAACCCCATTCTGGGACAAAGATAACAATACTCAGCTAAAGACAAAGACAATACTCAGCTAAACGTGTGAGTAAAAGACACACACTGTATACTCACTGTCCCCTCAAAGGAAGAGAATTCTAGATGAGGAGTTAGGAAACCTGATTTCTAGCCCTGATATTGACACTGAATAGCTGTGTGACCATGATGTAGCCCCACCCTCGGGGCAGTAGTTTCATATTAGAGCACATGACCTGGTGGAAATGTTGAAAGAGCACAGAACCAAAGGTCCGTAGACTGATGCCTGCCTCAACTGTGGCATGGTTCCAGGCCCCAGTGTCAGTTTTCTTATCTGTGGGATGATGAAGTCAGACTGCATTATCGGTAAAACTCTTTTCAATTCCAATAACACCTATGATTCCAGAACCGGTAGGATAGGGAACCTCAAATCCAACTGGGTTTATGAAAACCAATTGTCTGTAGCTGTGTTCTATTACCACCCCCCACCCCTGAGACTCAATGGCTCTTTCAAAACAATAATTTATGGTTTCTCACAATTTTGTGACTTGCCTGGGCAGCTCTGTGGCTTCACCTAGGATTACTCAGGCGAGTGAATTCAATACAAGGATGGATTGGGCATTGGGCTTGGCTGGGACATCTGTGATTGCCTGGCATCCCTTGTTCTGTGGTTCTTTTTTGGTTACAGAAGCCACCCCAGTTGCTATAATTTAGATACTAAGTGTCCCACAAAGTCTCATGTGGTATAGACTTGGTTTTCAGATTCATACTACTGGGAGATTGTGGAAACTTTAGAAAAAAATGAGACCTGGTGGAAGGTCTTTGGGTCACTGAGAGGCATACTCTCAAAGGAAAATGTAGGACCTCAGTCTTTTCTGCTTTGTCCCTTTCACTTCTCAGCCATGGGGTGAGTGGTTTTGCTCAGGTGTTTGTGATAATATTGGAAAACTGACCAACACATGAGGCTTCCACACTTAGTGGGAACAGTACTCCGAGAGGCAAACCCCAGAGCTCAAGTGCTCGCAGACCTTTCCTATATGGAGCCTATTTCTCTCTTGTTAGCCAAAGCAAGTCACATAACCCAGACTCAATGAAGAAGGGAATGGCACAAGGGCATTGTTATGGGCTCAATTGTGTCCCCCCAAAGAGAAGTTGAGATCCTGCCCCTAGTATCTCAAAATTTGAGCTTATTTGGAAACAGGTCTTTATAGATATAATCTAATGAATATGACATTGAACTAGAGTAAGTGGACTCCTAAACCAATATGACTGGTGTCCAGGGAGACTCACAGACAGGAGAGGGAAGCTGACCATGTAAAGATGGAGGCAGAGGTTGGAGTTCTATTGCTATGAGCCAAGGGAGGCCTAGAACAAGAATCTGAAAGAAACTAGGGAGAATCCTCCCCTGGAGCTTTCAGAGGGAGCATGTCCCTGCCAACACCTTGCTTTTAGACTTCTGCCCTCCAGAACTGTGAGAGATTAAAATTTTATTTTAAGCTTTCTACTTAGTGGTACTTTGTTACCACAGCCCTAGGAAATTAATAGAGGCATGAACACTGGGATAAATGCTTCCTTGGGAACCATTAGTGTAACAATCTACCACACCATCTATTTTTCTGGGCATAATACACAAATATTATGTTATTATTGTCCAAAGCATGAGAAAATACAAAGGTGATAGCTTGCAGTAATGATCTCAATCCTTTACCCTTCTGTAAATTTGTGTCCTTTGTCCTTTGTCATATGGTTTTACCTGCCGCATCTGCATTAAAAAAGTGGAGTGGATTATCCCTCCTCCTGCTGACTTATGGCCATGTGGCTTGCTTAAGCTGATAGTAAAAGGAAGAAGAGCCATTATGCCAGTTTCTTATGATCCCTTTCCTCTGTAACGAGATGCCTGCTGTCAGTGCTCTTCAGGGTCACTGCCCGGGCCTGGCTTGCCTGCCCTACCTGGATTCTGTCTCCTAGTGGGCTCTCTCCAGAGCTGCCCCTCCTTGGCATGAGCAGAGTCCCTCCACTCCCATTGGGTCAGGAGTTCAGAGACATGTGTTATTTTGGGTTGGAACCAGAGAGGCTGTCTGATCTCTACAGGGGTCAAGACTAACATGGACTGACCAAGGTCTCCCCTCTAGCATTTTCTTTTTTTCTTTCCCAGGCACAAGTGTCCATCGCACTCCTCTCTGATGTTTTCCTCCATGCTAAGGATGCATGCCAATAGAAATGAGATCCAGCTTTTCTACTCTGATTACATAAATGCAAATGTCTTTATTATCAAGGTGGGATCGTACTGCATTGAATACTCTACAACCTGTTATTTTATTTAACATTATAACAGCAATGTTCTTCCATTATTGTAAACACAAATTTAAGTCATTTTTAATAGCTGCATACATGTACCAATGCACAAAGAACCCTATTTTATTGAAACAATTCACCATTATTGAACATTCTGTTTATTTCAATTTTTACTTATAAATAGTGCTTCAATAAACACACTCTTACATTAGTGTTTGTATATTTGTTATTCATCTCCAGATGAATTCATAAAGATAGAATTGCATGTATAAGCATTCTTATGGCTTTTGATGTATTTATTTCCAATCAACCTTCCAGAAACACTATCAATTTATATCCACAGTGCACAAGGACTTCTTACAACTTTTGCAAAGTAAGAGAAAAAGTTCATATTCACAGTGTATTCTTTAGTCCATTTTGTTTCTTCAGCCTCATTTTAAAAATTTGTGTTGCTTAAAAATACTTTTCTAAAACTGAGTAAAACAGGGACAGCAAGAATACAGAACGTTGATGAAACCAGAAATGAGCTCACAAAGAGAAAGAGGGAGCAAGGAAGGAACAGATTCCGTGTTGGGGCACGGTTGGTAACAGTAGTGCCTCTTGGGTTTTTATTTGGCACATTAATTTAAAGTGACTCTGATATGACTTAATTTACAATAGAACTCAGCATTTTCAGAGAGATTGGAAATGTGGGATGGAAATACCAAATAAAAGTATAATATATCAGGAAAAAATTGTCCCAATAAAATACTAAATAGGAGGAAAATGAAGTACTCAAAAAATGCATAGTAGGGAATAACCAAGTTAGATATGGCCTGGCAGAGTGAAAAAAGATCAAGATAAAAGGTAGCCAAGATCAGGGACTCATATGTGGTGTCTGCCATATTGGTTTAGATGGACGTGAGTGCTGCATACTGTGAACAGGTCCTTTTGGTTTCACACCTACATGTTATATACAGTGGGTGAGTGGTGATTTTTAAAAGGGAAGGTGTGCTCTATCCAGGAATGTGAGATAGATATTAAATGAATTTTTTAAAAATAACATTTTATCTGTCACTTTCATTCAGCACTGGTAAAAGCAAGTCAATTCAGTCTCTTTAGAGGGTATAAACCCATATATGCATATGGTACATAAGTCTTAATTATGTGCATACCAACTGACCCACAATCCCAATTTCAGAGATTCATCTTAATGAAATTATTTAGCATATAACCCAACATTTAACTATGAGGTTATTCACTACATCATTATTTATGATTAAATTATGATAAAATTTATCTACTGAAATCATTTCAAATTATATTACAGAAATGTGTATAGGGGTGCAAACAATTGATCATACTCGATTAGATTTTTAAAAACAAACTATAAAGTACATTTTTTTTCTGTGTGGAAGGGGGAATGTCAGCAGTCGGGTAGATTCTGTTAAGGACAACTACCAATAATGCCTAGGTTTCACAAGTTCATTGATTCTCTATATGCTCAGGTCAAGGAGAACTACTACACGTTGTTTGGAATTCTTGACTTTAAGTTCTTTTGCTTTCTCAGTGTCTTCTTTGCCAGAGTACCCTAGTGAAGAGGAAGGATCTTGGAATTATAACTGTACCTTGAATACAGAATCCAGACTTTCTTCTTCAGTTCTTGTTTCTGAGTTTTGTTGCAATGAACTTGAACTTGACTTAAGATGAATTTTTCCTTGGAAGCCCTATAGATTCTCTTTAATATTGTTTTTTTGTGTGTGTGGGGGGGGAACATCACCCTAAACATTATCACAAAGTTTACCAGACATAACTATATGCCTGAACCCCAATTTTGAAGATGTTTTGAATTCATTTCTCATAAGGCTCCTCAATCTTGATGTGAATCATGTAGAAGCATACATACTTTTGGGGACAGTAGATGGAAGGCAGAGATGGCATATAATAGCTTACACCAGACCAATCTCAATCTTATCTCTACCTTGCTTAGGGTATCTTTTCTTATGTGTTTGTGTATACAATCATATAATATTCACATGTGTTAGTTTATTAAATACTACTAATAAGTCCTGAAGAATGTATACCCAAAACATCAGTATTCCAGTGGTAAAGTTACAGGTCATTTTTTCTTCTTTTATTTTATCTGATTATTCTAATTTTTTTCACAGTGATCATTTATTTCTTGTGAATCATTAAACAGCAGAAGTAATTTTTAAAGGTGCTTTTAAAAAATGAATACCATTTGAACATCCACTCAGAGGTATCTATTAGTTCACCTTCAATCTTTCTATAATGGCAGTTATCATATTAGTTTTTTTTTTTTTATCTCAGAGCTATCAACTCAAGGGGGTTTGTAACATATGGGGATGGTAAATCTTCTTTTTAGGATCCAACCCATTATTTCATGGTAAAGCTACAGATATTTTTTTTTTCATTTGGGATTGATCATTTTGATGAGTAATGTGGAAAGAATAGGGAAGGTATTCGAAAATAAGAGAGCAAGAAAATTAACCTTTCATAAAGGGCTCATGAAATATTTGGGAAAGGAATTGGGTATCTTGGTAAGATTATATGGGGGCCTGCCTAAGCTAGAATGCTTGCAATTTGATGAAAGTGTCCAGACTTAGGACCAAGATGCTGGTTGAAAGTCTGAGAGATAGAATATAAATGCATGCAGAGAACAAATAAAGACTCCAGTAAAAATCTAGGAGTGTGGAGTGAAAGAGATAAAGGCAGATTCCAAATTCACCATAGAAGAAGAGAAGGAGATACTTGGCAGAAAAATGGGTTGACTCCTTCAGTGTCTATTCAATTTTTCCCCAACATTACAGCCCCTCCTGTTTTATGTGGTGCCCAGTGGGCTGCCCCACCCTACAGATCCATCCAGCCTTGATCTCAGGAGCGACCTCCATGTTCATGAAGGCATTCTGCCACTATTTGGTACAGGCCCAACCCCACCAGCCTCCTCAGAGATGGGGCATGCCAAAGTTCTTTTGCAAGTATGTAGTGAGGCTTTGAGTCACACTGTTGCTTAAGAGGATACTCTATGCATTTTCAGACATATGACTAACTGGGCAAAAAGCTTAAAAAATATAGCTTAGAATTACTGTGTTCAGCAGGAGAGTTGTTCTTTGCTTTTTGTGTTGTTTGGGGGGCTCTCAGGCAGGGGGTGGAATAGGATTGACCTGAAATATGGGACACCAGAAAGAGACAGATAGACAGAGATTCAAAGTCCCTGACTGGCATTTAATTCCATCTTGCTGTTTTTCCTGGTCTGGTTTCAGAAATCCTCTGACAGTTGGACTATTTGCTATTTAGTCATTCTACTGTACTCATTTTACTGACAATCAACAGGCATTGCCTAATTTCACACTCAAATGAATTTAAAAAAAAAAGACCAAAGCAGACTACAATGTCAAATATACATTCAATTTGATGGCATTTTTGAACATTTTCAAAATAACACTTCAGTAGTAAGAGCAGCAAACATACAGGCTTGGAAGACATTTAAGTGCATTCGGGTTTTAGCCAAAACAGCTTGCAATAACTAGATTAAAAAAGAGCCTAATTGGAGGCTTTCACATTAGGTTCTGAAACACATTTTTTGGTCCCCTTGTGCCTTGTTTCCAAGATGGTAGCACCTGGAAAAACATGCAGCTTGATTTTCGTAATAGATCTGAGCTCAGATATAAGGACTGCATTACACCAGTTCCTTTGAAACGGGTGGCAGTTATTGCTGGAGTCCAAGTGGCTGAATCGCATGCTTGGAAATAGGAGTATATTCATCTGTTTGTGAAAATCACCAGGCATAGACCGTTTCCACCCAACACACCGTAGAAACTTGCAAGCCTCTTATTACCAGCAAGAATTGAAGCCAAGACTTGGAGAGAGCAATGCCAGATAATTGCTGCTGTTTTCCTTAAGCCTTTATTTTCAATGCTGAGCCTTGCATTACTATACGTTCTTTCCTAAGTGAGAACCTTCAGCCAGACCAATGACAGTGTCCTTTGTGGGGCAGTGGCAGTCTTCACCAAATCCCTGACCAAAAATAATGTCCAGCATGTAATCCCTTTTCATCATGACTTGATTAATTACCCTAGGAAACCTCATTTCATTCTACTTACTCAAATGAGGGTAATTAGAGCAGTCTCTGACCCTTTCCTCCCCACCCCTCTTAGTTTACAGTGAGCTGTGAAACGCGATAAGCTAATTCTTAAGTATAAACTTTTATGCCAAGAACAAGTATCTCCTATTTGACTGGCTCTTCCCCCACAGGAACTTGGTATTGTTTATCTAAGAATTTGACATCCAGCTTTTTGTCAGATCAAATTGAGGAGAAATGTCCTCCAGATGACACAACCGCCCTATCAGTAGAGGGTTCATGAACTGGTCCCTTATCTTAATATCTGTAGTCATAACTGGGCTCTCTTGCTTCATGTGGAAGGTACAGTTTCCATTACTAGTTTTAACTGAAAGTGCAACAGGGCTGGTTGGTAAAGAGCTAAAGATCCATTATAATAAAATGTGCAAGGACACAAAAGATTGCTTTTGGAAGTCAAATTCCCAATTGTCCAGGTGTTTTGAAAGTTAATCTTTGATACATTCTAGGTTGCTCAGTGGACTACATGAAGCCATCTTGAATATGTATGAATTTTCATATTTTCATCAACATGTTGTTTATTCCAGATTATGTGAGCAGTTCATGTGTACTGTAGAAAATCTGGGGGAAAAGCATAAAGAAGTTTAAATAATTAAATAATTTTTATTTTAAAATAAAATTATTTTTAATCCTAACACTGGAGGTGACTACTTCTAAAATCCAAATATATTTCTTTCTGGTCTACTTTTTATATAATTATATAAATGTACATTTCATAAAAAAACGAATCCTGTGCTATAAACATTTTAGACATTTTAACTTGATTTTAATCATGAACATTTTCCCATGTCATTAAGTATGTGCCAAAACTTGACTTTTTTTTTGGTACTGGGGATTGAACTCAGGGGCACTCGACCACTGAGTCACCTCCCCAGCTCTATTTTGTATTTTATTTAGAGACAGGGTCTCCCTGAGTGGCTTAGTACCTCGCTATTGCTGAGGGTGGCTTTGAACTCGTGATCCTCCTGCCTCAGCCTCCCAAGCTGATGGAATTATAGGCATGCACCACCACACCCAGCCCAAAACTTGACTTTCTGTGGCTGTAAAGGTTTTATAACATGGGAACACTTTCCTATGGCATCCAAGGCGGCCTGCATTTTTACCAAAATGCAATGGCCTAGAGCACTATGTAGTGTCAGGAGTCTTCAGTTCTAAGAGACATAAACCAAGTAAATGTGATTTCATTGGTCCCGTAACTAAGTGCTCTCTTTGGCAGCGTTATCTCCATTGCTTCAGCTATTACCTGCAGATCTCAGTATCTCCAATCCCCCTTCTCCTGTCCTGTCCTCTCCTTCCCATCTTCTCCTCTCCTATTCTTTCTCTCCCACCATGTGGAAGCAAGTGGTGTCCCACTGACATCTCTAAGCCTATACTTACCTCACAGATTGAGATCAACAATAAAGAGAAATTACCTTTCTTAATGGCCAGCAAGGCCCATGGAAGTCTCTGACAGACTGAAAGGGGGCATCTGCTCAACTCTGAACCAAATTCTGTGCCTGAAGAATGACGTGCTCTGATTGGCCAAGCCACATGCAGGAGTCAATTCCAAGGCAAGAACCCTTGAACGGGGATGATGGGAGAAGAGCCTACACCCTTTCTCCACTGCTTTCCTTTCCTTTTCTTAAAATTTGTTCTCAGTAAACTTCAGCATCATTTGAGCAGTGGGACTCAAATCCTGTCTCTCATACGCATATATTCATATATGCGTGTGTGTATACTAAGTATATTTGTGAATAGTGAACTAAAACCCACCAAAGTTGTCTTATCTGAATTCAGAAGAAAAATTAATTCCAGGGTCATATCAAGACTTCAGACTGTCATTATGATTTTTGGTCAATCTGGTAGATACCAAGTGAATATCACTAATTTCTAGGATGCTGAATGGAAGGTGTGTTGATACAATAACTTTGAAGGAGAATACATACCTAGATTTAAAACAACACACTCCATTTAGTGTTTCCACCATTGTCAACGATCCACTATAATACTATTCATCTCAGAAAAGATTTACTATGTCCTCTGACGTCCAGGCAGTACAATTCTCTGTGTCCAGAGAATACACAATCTTAGACTTTCAGTTTTTGAGGTCTGCACCATTCAGGGCTTCTTTCCACAGCCTTATTGGTACTGAGCAGTCTTTTTCCTGCTCTTCTAAAAGTAGTTCTTTCTGCATTTTAACCCACAATGAATGGATTCAGAAAAATGCTAGCTGATATTTTATGGAAAATTAACATTTAAATTCTACAGCAGGTTGAATGACCTTCAATGATTCCATCAGCTTGATGAAAGTCCTCTGGCCTTGTGAAGGTTACCTTCATATTGCAGTTTGAAAAGCTCTGCCAAGAATGATAAGAATGCCACTGCAGGGAAGCTCTGCTGGTCGGATGTCATGGCTTCAGGGACTTTGAGAACATCGAGGAGGATTTACCACAGCTTCATGTCAGGAAGACTTCCTTACTGACTGTACTCTATTTAACAACCCAGCAGCTCTGAACCCTTTAGCACTTCCATTTCCAGGACTCAGTGGTCTGGACTAAACTCTATATTTGTGGGTGGCTGAGAGGCTAATTATTAATCAGTGAGGATAAAAGAACTCATGGACAACTGACTCCTCTCTGGATCAATTTCCCAGTGTTCTGGGTAACTGGTACATCTTCTTCTAGAAGAATACATGTCTGGTCATCAGAATAGGTGGAAGTCACTAACTTTGATTATGTTAGCTTTTAATGACATCTAGAATGTACAGCTATCATGGTACTGACGATCCTCTCTCAGAATTATCTGTCTACTTCTCTATTCTCCTTACTGAACTGTGAGTCACTCAAAGACCAGGGTAGAGTCTAAGCAATCTGGGTTTTTCATGTTTAGCAGGTAATAAGTGTTCAATACCTATTTGTTGAGTGGATGAATAAATGCTCAAGATTTAAGTCTGGGGGTCATCCTTAACCCCTTCTTTCTCATCCTCATATCTGATCCACTACCACATTCTCATGAGGAAAACAATGGTTCTTTAATCTGCTCAGTTTTCTCCATCCTCACTGTCATGCCCTGGTCTAAGTCACCAACATTCCTTCTCTGCCCACCACAGCTACCTCAGAAAAGCTTCCCTGATCTCCCTCTTACACAACATAGATTTCTTTTTCATAAAACATCTGTAGAAAATTTTCAAAAATATTAGAACACTTCTAATGGCTTTTCATTCCATGAGTAAAATTCAGAACCCAACCACCTACTTCTCCAGGTACATCTAACTCTTCTCTCCTACCTCCTCACTCTGCTGAATCATGTTGAGCTCCTTTCCATTTCTATAGCTCATTTGCAGTTTTTGCAAAGGCTGTTCTCTCTGCAAGCCTTTCCTCACTTCTCCCTCCTGGCCATCTTGGTCTAAATGTCACCCTCACCCCAGAAGCTTCCTTTGCCATTTCAGTTTAAGGTAGGCATGCTTATTTGTCTCCCTCCTATCACCTGTCTTCTTCCTTTATGATGGTTATGAAATTTTTTTTTAAAGAGAGAGAGAGAGAATTTTTAATATTTATTTTTTAGTTATTGGTGGACACAACATCTTTGTTTGTATGTGGTGCTGAGGATCGAACCCGGGCCGCACGCATGCCAGGCGAGCACGCTACCGCTTGAGCCACATCCCCAGCCCGGTTATGAAAATTTTTAATTATGAAGTTTATTAATTTATTTAATAAGCACCTCTCAATTTAAATTGTGGGCTTTTTCCTTTTCCAAGGACTGCATCCATTTAGCTCCCTATCACAGACACCGTGCTTACCACCTCATATCCTCTCAGCCTCAGTTCATGGCTCTAGCAGAGAGGCTTCCCTGACTCTCCTGGATGGAGTGCCTGCTGGAGCCTTGTTGATATTCATGCATGGATAGCCCAAAAGTGAGCAAGGGTTGACTCTCAGCCAAAACAGTCCAGGAAATAATGGATAAATGCCTCTCCCTCTGATCCTTTTTATACTCCCCTGTACCCGTGCCAGCGAGACTGAGCACTGGCCACCTGTGTTGATGGCCAGCTTTGCAGTGTGTAGGCATATTGGCTCCTCCCCCTTTCCCAGTTTCACTTTTTCTGATTCTTCACTTCTTTCCAAGATCACTTCCCAGGCAAATCCTAGTCTCTGGCTCAGTCTTTCGGGAAACTCAGGGTGGGACCTCTGCACACTAATTGTCTAGACCAGTTCATGGCACAAAGTAGTAATTCAATAATATTATAAGTAAAAAAAAAGTAAAATATAAATTAATGGAAATTGTTATAAAACCAAGGAGTAAGGACAGAAACAGACTATAAAGAAAGCATTTCTGTATTTGGGACAATAAAACTCTGCATTGCTTATACTTCCCTACTCAGCAGAGGTCCTCACCATGCCATGAAGGTGAACTTGAAAATGGTTTTCAATTTTAAACAAGTGAATTTCTACCAAAACCTATCTGCTCAACTCTTCATGCCCCAGATTTATATAATAGGAGATAGTAGAACAAGAATGAGTTTGAAATTATATACACCTGGGCCTGAATCTCATATTGCCACTACTTTCTATCTGCATGACTTCACAGAATTATTCAAGTTCCAGGTTGCCTGTCAAATGGGGACATTAACATTGCCTTATAGAGTTGTTATAAAGATTTTTAAATAACAAATTTATTTTCCCCAAAAATATCTACCTTCTTTTCCTCCCCTTTGCTGTGAAGCTTTCACACTGCATTTAGCAATGAATTCCTAAAGTTGTGACCATTGATTCTGGGCTGAATGATTGGTGCAGGGACCTTCTGTTTAATCGTTTTTATCTTCACAGTCTCTGCACTTCCAATTTACCGACAGGTGCTTTCATCTCTTGAAAGAAAATCTTTCTCAGGTAAAGAGATGTATAATGACATAAAAAGTTTTTCAAAGGTATCATTGCCTAGGGGGTTTCCCCCAAGGGATGGTGCAGCGTGCCTGCATCCTGAATGAGAGTCAGGTTGTGGATTTGCATGTCCTGTGAGCCTGTCCTCTTTATCCATCTCCAGTCATTTGTGCCTTCTGTCTGCTGTGCTCCCAAAGGTCAGACCCTTGTGAGAAATACTTGCTCTATTAATCATCTTGGAAGACAGTTCCAGACACATTTTTAGAAGGGATGCAGTAAGTTTTGTCTGCACAGGACACCCTGGGAAAAGAGTTTCCCGTCCGAAAAGCAATCTTGCCTTTAGCCAAGTATTTTCTTTTAGCCTTTTAAAAAAATCAAGTTATTTCATGTTCTGAAGACATTGTGAGTCATGGCCATCCCTTTGGCATAGACATGTCATGTACCCAAATGGTGGGTTTCACATGACTGCTGGTGTTGGTGCACATCTGCATCCAGCTGCTGCTCAGACTTTTGGGGAACAGTGGAGGGTTTAACCATTATTTGACATGAACACAATCAGTCAGAGACAGAGTGTATGATAGAGAACTATATGCCCAGAGCTAGTGAAAATGAGCCAGGAGTTACACAGGCTCACGATTGGGAATAATAAATAATGTTCATACTCAAATTGGACATGGCATATTGGACTGATCCCCCATTTATTTATATATGACAGGAGGAGACTATTTGATCCTTCCCTCCCTCTGCTTCACATGAACATTATAGTATGGGTCTTCAAATGCAGCAAAGGTACTTGCACCCACCATTTAAAGGAAAGCAAGTTTTACCTGCCTGTCTGCTTGTTTAGTAGAGAATCACGTCATGTATGCAAAGGTGAAACAAACAAGGAAGATGGAAATCTCAGGGCTTGCTTCTGTTTCCCTTGGAATTTTTGTCTTTTGCCTTTTTTACTTGAGTCTTTGTAGTCACCACGTGACCTAATGAGCTATCCCTCTTGCCAACTCCTGATAAGAATGAGAAAAAAAAAAATCCAACTAAGTATTGTCATTTGCTTATTAAGCATTCCCACCTCATGAGGATAAGGCTTTTCTGTTTTTGTGTTTCACAAAATTATGAGAATATCTGCGGTATTTCAGATATTATTTTAATAAACCTGTGTCCTGGATGAAATTAGGATTCATTTCTTATTTCTCATTTGAGATGAGAAACGTGATAAACAATGCCCCCCGGGGAAGGCCCCTCCAAATCAGCATGCCAAGGGAGGCAGACCACCATATTCAGTGAAAATATTAAACACCTTGAGTTATTTCCCAATAGGAAGCAGAGCAGACAATGCAGCCCACTTAGGAGCCATACTAGGGACCTTTATGAATGGCATCTGCAGTAGATGGATATTTCTTCCCCCTCAGATTCCTGCTCCTGTTCAAGTGCAGGACTTGCAACTGAGTCATCTTTTTCAAGAATGAACGTGGATGTCATAGTAATCTGTGGTCTATAACTTCATAAATAGCTTGGTCCAAAAGTATATCAGGCACAGCTGAGCTCAGATGATTCCATGAATGGCTTAATTCCAGGCCCATTTCAATATGCATCTTTTTATTACCCATAATCGTTTCTACTAATACTGCCTTGAATAATTCCTACAATCATAAAAAAAAAAGCTTTCAACAAAGAAAGATCTTTGAACAACAGTAATAAGGACTGGATTGTGGTGACTGATTTATAACTAAAGTATTCTGAAAATAGTTCTAATACAACATTCCCCAGGCCTAAACATATAGGGTAGTTTGGTTAGTCAACAACAAACTCTCATGCAATGGACAGTGACTTCTGCTAAGGGTCAAGCACTATATGAGATCTTAGAGGAAAAATAAAAGATAACATGGCTTCAACTTGCTCCCAAGGAGCGCTCAGGAACAGAAATGTCAATGACTTTCTCAATAAAATGACCATTAAGTGACGACCCAAAATGGTAACTAAAGACACTGCCACAGGAGGATTGGTCTTAAAGAGGAAGGGTATTATTAGAAAAGAGGACACAGACATTCAAGAATGGATCTGATGAGCAAAAGCATGGTGATGTGAAAATCATGGTGTGTTCAGAGGACCACAAAGCTGGGTATACACAGAAAACTGTGCATGGGACAGGGCACAAATAATTTTTTTGTTGTTCAGCAGCTGCAAAAAATCTGATATTTTCTGAATTGCATAAATCAGGGGAAATTGATTATAAGGAGGTAGGAATATTTTGTTGAACCAAAGACAAGAGTTTCAAGTAGGCTTAGGAACAGTAATACTATCGAGAAGAGAGGCTGGATGCCTTCATGTTCAAAATACTAGAAAAACTACTGATAGTAGGAACATACCTTAACATCGTAAAAGCCATATATGCTAAGCCCAAGGTCAACATGATTCTAAATGGAGAAAGATTGGAAGCATTCCCTCTAAGAACTGGAACAAGAGATGGATGCCATCTTTCACCACTTTTGTTCAACATTGTCCTCCAAACTCTAGCCAGAGCAATTAGACAGAAGAAAGAAATTAAAGGGATACAAATAGGAAAAGAAGAATTCAAGCTACCATTATTGGCTGATAACATGATTTTATATTTAGAAGACCCAGAAAAATTCTACCAGAAAACTTTTATAATAAAATAAATGAACTCAACAAAGTAGCAGGATATAAAATTAACACCCATAAATCAAATGTATTCCTATACATCAGTGATGAATCTACTTAAAGAGACGTGAGGAAAACTACCCCATTTATAATAGCCTCAAAAAAACAATAAAATATTTGGAAATCAATCTAACAAAAGAGGTGAAAGACCTCTACAATAAAAACCATAGAACAATAAAGAAAGAAATTGAAAAAGACCTTAGAAAATGGAAAGATATCACATGTTCTTGGATAGGCCGAATTAACATGGTCAAAATGGCCATTCTATCAAAAGCATTATAGAGATGTAATATAATTTCTATTCTGCATAGAACTAAAAAAAGCATTCATAAAATTCATTTGGAAAAACAAGAGACTTAGGATAGCCAAAACAATATTAGCAAGAAAAGTGAAGCAGGAGGCACCACAATAGCAGAACTTAAATTATACTACAGAGATATAGTAACAAAACAGCATGTTATTGGCATCAAAACAGACACATAGACCAATGGTACAGAATAGAAAACACAGAGACAAACCCACAGAAATATAGTTATCTCATACTAGACAAGGGCACCAAAAACATACATTGGAAAAAAGATAGCCTCTTCAACAAATGGTGCTGCAAAAACTGGAAATCCATATGTAGCAAAATGAAATTAAACCCCTATCTCTCACCCTGCACAAAAGTCAACTCAAAGTGGATCAAGGACTTAGGCACTAGAACAGAGACCCTGTGCCTAATAGAAGAAAAATTAGGTCCAAATCTCCACCACATTGGCTTGGGAACTGATTTCCTTAACAACACTCCTAAAGCACAAGAAGTAAAATCAAGAATCAATAAATGGGATGGAATTAAACTAAACACTTCTTCACATCAAAAGAAATGATCCAAATCATGAAGAGAGAGCCTACAGAATGGGAGGAAATCCTTACCATCTGCACCTCAGATAGAGCATTAATCTCCAGTATATATATAGAACTCAAAAACTTAACAGCAAAAAACAACTAACTGAATCAATAAATTGGCTAAGGAACTGAACAGACATTTCGCAGAAGAAGAAATAGAACTGATCAGCAAATACATGAAAATATGTACAACATCTCTAGTAATTAGAGAAATGCAAATCAAAACTACACTGAGATTTTATCTCACTCCAGTCAGCATGGCAATTATCAAGAGTACAAGCAACAATAAATGTTGGCTGGGATTGTGGGGGACGTGGGGGACAAGGTACACTCATACATTGCTAGTGGGACTGCAAAGTGGTACAACCACTGAGAAATCAGTATGGATATTTCTCAGAAAACTTGGAATGGAACCACCATTTTATCCAGTTATCCCGCTCCTCAGTTTATACCCAAAGGACTTAAAATCAGCATACTATGGTGTTGTGGCACATCAATGTTTATAGCAGTTCAATTCACAATAGCTGAACTATGGAATCAACCTAGAAGCCCTTCAACAGATGAATGAATAAAGAAAATATTATATATATGTGTATATATATATATATATATATATATATATATATATATATATATGAATATTACTCATCCTTAAAGAAGAATGAAATTATAGCATTTGCCAGTGAATGGACAGAGCTGGAGAATATCATGCTAAGAGAAATAAACCAATCCCAAAGGACCAAAAGCTGAATTTTTTCTTTGATATGTGGATGCCAATTCATAATAAGGGCTAGCGGGGGTGCTAGGGAAGAATAGAGGTACTTTGGATTAGACAGAGGGGAGTGAAAGGAGGCAAGAGGATAAGGGAGGGAAGAAGGATAGTCAAATGAATCAGACATTAATATCCTATAGGCATATATGATTACACAATTAGTGTAATTCTACATCATGTACAACCAGAAGAATGAGAAGATGCCACCTAAACAGTGATCACTCTTACTGCAGGTCTCAGCTCAAAGATCACTTCCTTGGAGAAGTGATCTCTGGTGCCCAAGTGGATTCAGATTCTCTTCCCTCTCTGTTCCTAATTATGTCCATTTATGTATGATGTGACACATATAACTAATTTGAACAAATAGAAAAAACCCACAAAGCTATACCCACCTTTCCTCTCTCTTTCTGGGCCATGAAGTCACTTATTTCTGCAGCTCAATTCATTGATAGACAGTTCTGACTCCGTTACTCATTCAACTTTTATTCTGTAGGAATATATACTCATCCTCTGTGTTCAGTGTGATATTTGTGTGCTCCATTATAGCAGAACATAAACCACACTGGGCTTTGTGGGCACAGACCTGTGCAATAAAGTGGTCCATGTTGGGTTTAAAGCACCGTTGTCACCATCTTGCAATTCTGAATAATTTCACTGAACTTGTGCTTTCTAAGGAAGTCCATTGGAATGATGGAACATGCACATGAGCAGAGATGTCCACAGTTCCTTGCCTTCCCATTCACTTACAGCATTTTTAGGATATCCCATGAGCATTGAAGTTGGTAACCAATGGACACCGAAAGAATACAAGGGCATTCAGCAAGACTAAAAGCAAGTACATGGCAGTGGTGTTAGGGAATGTTGTGTTAGGACCATTTTCAGAATATCTTAGTTATACCAGAGGCTCTGCTCTTTTGTTCAAACCAAAAGGAAAACCTAGGGACCCTTTCTTGCTTATTCATATCATTTCCCACTTAAAGCCAAATAAATAAATAAATTAAATTAAAAGAAAGAAAGAAAGCAAAAGCAATAAGGCAAAGCACTGTTGCTTTTCCTTTTTGTCCTTCTTTACTACCAGTGAGCTGAAAGAAGTGCTGGTATAACGTGCTAAAAAGTGAAATAAAAATGATTGCATTAGTTTCATGCAGCCTTTCCATGGTTCTGGTAAGAATGAAATACATATGTGTGTGTGAAATACAAAATATGAATTGTGTAATCTTGGATTTTGCATACCAGTTAAATGTTTTTATATTGACATTTAAAACTAGCATTTTATGATATAAAGACAAACAGTAGATTCCATAATAATAAATCATGATTAAAAATTTCTATTTTTAAAATATAGAATGCCATTAGATAGCAAATCAAAAAACACAATGGCGAGGAGAGAGAAAGTATTTAAGAAAGGAAGTTTTACATGGTAGTACCTTGAGCAGCACTTTTCTCTGAACAAGGAACCTCACATTTTCATTTTGCACTGGGCCCTCAAACTATGTAGCCAACCTGTCCTGGAGATGACCAGGTGAATGAACAAAACAAGGACCGTGAGGTCCCTATGGTCATGGAGCTTACTTTCCATAGGGGTAAACAATACAAAATAATGGACAAGAAACACTCACTGTCTCATTTCTTCTTTGAGGCAATAGCAGGGGATATGATTAAGAA